AGAAAGACACACATGGTATATACTCATTTATAAGTGGATATTAGCCATATAATATTGGATAAACATACTAAAATCTGTAGTCCTAAAGAAGCTAAACAACAAGGAGGACCCATTTGATTTTCGTGTCTGTATCCGTAATGTTGTCTTATGTTCTGTGAGGCCAGGTTGTTGCATGCGGCAGAGAACACATGATCAAGTTGGCGGCTATGGCTAATGTGTTAGCCCAGTGCTCAGGGGACTCCTTCAGATTCAGAGGTAGATGAGCCCCTTGGGGACGTAACGTTAAAGGGAAATGAGAATTGGGACAGCTTGAAACACACAGCAGTGCGATGTTCCCCAACACTGCCATGCTAACCCTGCACACGCCACAGATATGGTAGAGTGTTTGTTTGGCCTTTCCAGAGCACAATCTTTATTCTCTATTGAGTCATAACTGAAAAGGGAGAAAACATGTTCTCTGGAGAAATAGGTGTTCTGGACAAATTCAGCCTCCGAGTTGCTCTCTCAATTCTTCCACTATACCTTACTATTTTCCCCTACCAACGCCATGTACTTTGTTTTTAAACCCATGGAGTCCATTTAGTGCTACTTATTAAATGCATTTATTCATTTTTAATTAATTACAGTTTATTAACATTGTATCCCATCTGTAGCACCCTCTCTCATCCCCTCCCAATTCCACTCTCCTTCCCTCTTATTCTCCTATGCCCCTCCCTCAGACCACTGATAGGGGAGGTCCTTTTCCCCTTTCATCTGACCCTAGTCTATCAGGTCTCATCAGGACTGACTGCATTGTCTTCCTCTGTAGCCTGGTAAGGCTGCTCCCCCATCAGGTGGAGGTGATCGAAGAGCCAGTCACTGAGTTCATGTCAGAGACAGACTGTTCCCCTTACTAGGGAACCCACTTAGAGACTGAGCTGCCATGGGCTACATCTGTGCAGGGGTTCTAGGTTATCTCCATGAATGGTCTTTGGTTGGAGTACCAATCTCAGAAAAGACCTCAGTGTCCAGAATTTTTAGTTCTGTTGCTTTCCTTTCGGATCTCCTGTCTCCTCTAAGTCTTTCTATCTCCCCCTGCTTTCATAAGATTTCCTGAACTCTGTCCAAAGTTTGACTATGAACCTCAGCATCGGCTTCAATATCCTCCTGGGTAGAGTCTTTCAGAAGCTCTCTGTGATAGACTCTTGTCCTGTTCCTTGTTTTCCCCCTCTTGTGATATCCATCCTCTTTGCCTTTCTGAATGAGGATTGAGCATCTTACCCAGGGTCCTTCTTCTTGCTTAGCTTCTTTAGGTGTACAGATTTTAGTATGTTTATACTATATTATATGTCTAAAATCCAGTTATAAGTTAGTATATACCATGTGTGTCTTTCTGCTTCTTTGTTACCTCACTCAAGATGATCTTTTCTGGTTCCCACCATTTGCCGGCAAATTTCATGATTTCCTTATTTTTAATTGTTGAGTAGTATTCCATTGTGTAAATGTACCACAATTTCTGTATCCATTTCTCCTTCAAGAGACATCTGGGTTGTTTTCCACTTATGGCTATTACAATTAAAGTTGCTATGAACATGGTTGAACAAATGTATTCTAGGTTATATCCTAGGAGTAAAATAGCTGGATCTTGAGGTAGCACTATTCCTAACTGTCTGAGACAATTAGGGCTATTTTATGTACATTGACTAGAACATTGTCTCTCTTGGATCACATGTCTGATAAAAACTGACTCTCACTTAGACAGAGGTGGCACTGCCTGAGCCTCTCCCTCAGTTATGCTGGGATGCTGGATGGCTTGACTTTGTGCAGGTCTTCCACACACAGTCCCAGCCACTGTGAGTTCACACACACACTGGCCCTGTTGTGCCCGACAAACACAGTTTTACTGCTGGTGCGCACTACCAAACAATCTTTTCTTTCGTGATGATGCCTGTGCCTTGGAGAAGGAGTGTAGTGGAACTCTGTAGTGATTGCCATATACAGTGAGAAGAAGCTTCCCCGAGGACGGTTGAGAAATCCTCTAGTCTATAGTTATCACGTGAAGAAATCGGGTGTATAGCTTTTAATTATTTGCATTTAACATAATCATAGTTATATCCTCCCTTTGAGTTGCACACTCGTGAACCTTTGGCCCAGTTAATGGTATCAGGTATGAGCTTCCAGCTTAAATTCAAACAGAAAGTGGCTACTACCGGCACAGTTTTCGCCTCTGCCGCACACCTGGACATACCTTGCCAGGCTAGTCTTATCTTAGTGTACAGCATGTAGCGTTTTTATTATGTTACCTCATAGAATCATGCACAGAAGCCTTTGGCTGCGCGACTACTATCCGGTAGGAAGAATGTCTCCGGGTAAATACCGGTTTCAGTTCTCTGTGTCCTGTGCTTCATGCACTTAGTATCTTCATTGAAAAGTCCTACGATAAAGTTTTGGAGGGTAACGAAGAGCACTGGCGATAGCCTCTAATATCGGAGGAGACTTACAGGATCTCTTTTACCAACAACTCAAAAATAGGTCTTCCATGCCTGGAGATGGGCTTTTTATTTGATAGACTGTGATATCCGGGGAGAAGCAGTGTTCCAATGTTACCAGGTAAGTTTTTAAAGCTCCACCCAGCCTTCACAGCTTTGCCATTTTAGCTCTTGCGTTCACGGCTGGATTGCATTTATGTTGCTTCTTTACACAATGTATGACACAGGCCGTGTTCGTTGCTTTACACGCGAAGAGCCAGCTTCCTGAAGACGATCAGCAGTTTATCAGAAAACTGTGCGCTCACAACAGTTCATCCTTGAAGAGTTCTTGCCATGTTGTAGTGATAGGCTGTTTTCCTGGAATAATCACTCTGTTTCCAAAACTTGGAGGTGTAACGATGTTCTGACTTGCTACCCTTCAGTATCTTTTTGAGAGGGAATGTCACACAGGCATCTATTTTAAACAAATAAAAATAAATAGCATTCTTTTGACTCATTTCCTTCTTTCTAACTTCTGGCCTCCAATTTCTACTTTTCTTATACTCTTCACTTTTATTTCTGCTATTCCCATCACCACACATTTTGTATCAGTAAGAAGGTATAGCTATCAGTCCTATCCATTCTGATAGACAGTCTCCAGTGGAACTGATGATCATAATTTCACACTATAAGCCTCCATGAATAATGTTTCTGATTTTCCAATGCTACGTGTGGATTGTCTCAGCTACACACAGGATAAATCCTTACTTTCACGATTATCTTTAGTCTCAGAATTCGTCAAAAACATCTAGCAGGTGTTTTGGTTGGTTGGTGGTTTTGTTTTGTTTTTGTACTTTTCTCAATACATCCCAACTTCAGTTTCCCTCCCTCCACTCCTCCAGGTCCCCACCAACTCCCCGCAAGCCACTCCTCTTCTGCCTCCCCTCAGAAAAGCGCAGGCCTCCCAGGTATAACAGCTGAACAAGGCACAAAAACATACAATACGACTGGCTACAAGCCCACATATCAACCCAGTAGTAGGAAAAGGGTTCTAAGACCAGGCAAAAGAATCAGAGACACCCCACTCTGACTGTTAGGAATCTCACGAGAAGGAAGGCCAAGCTAAAAACCATAACATATATGCAGAGGACCTAGTGAAAACCCATCATTTGGGCTTGTCTGAGCAGTAGGAGCCCTGCTTAGTTGATTCTGTGGGCTCTGTTCTCCTGGGTTCCTTGAAACCCCTCCCCCTCCAGCTCCGACAATCCTTTTCTTCCCTTTTCTGAGGGGTTTCCAGAGATCCATCTAATGTTTGGCTATGGATCTCTGTCCTGAACTGTTCCTATCAGTTCACCCTAGTATTTTCTTTCAGAAAAATAGTATGTGGCTTTCTTTGCTCCTATTTTTTTTCTAAAGCACTCGTAGAAATAGCCCATTTGAATAAAAATCAGTATGATTTGTACTTTCCCTGTGGTCTTTTTCACATTTGAATTGTAAACAGTTATGTGGTAAATATCTGGTTGTGACTTTATGTCTCACTGAAATGCTCTAATGGAGCCCATCATCCCAAATTTATCTCTGTAGCACTATTCATTCGTTTCATTTTTAATGAACTTTCAATAAAGGAAAATAAAAAGTATTTTGTATTTGTTAGGATTTTGCCAAAGGAGAAAGAAAATAAAACAAATTCAAGACAAAACCTACATGCATATTGCCACAGGAGTCCATGGGTTATATATAATATCTAAAAAATGAGTGAGAAAAGTCATGGGTCTGTAAGGAGGGGAATCTGAGAGCAGGAAAGAGAGAGACTGAGGACTGAGCTGCCATGGGCTTCATCTGTGCAGGGGTTCTAAGTTATCCCCATGCATGGTCTGTTGTTGGAGTATCAGTCTCAGAAAAGTCCCCTGTGCCCAGATTTTTTGGTTCTCTCCTGTCTCCTGTCTTGGTCTTTACATCTCTCCCTTCTTTCATAAGAGTCCCTGCACTCTGCCCATATGAGCAGCCTTACCAGGCCACAGAGGAAGACAAAGAAGCCAGTCCTGATGAGACCTGATAGACTAGGGTCAGATTTTGGAAGGGGAGGAGGACCCCCATATCAGTGGATTGGGGAAGGGGCATGGGAGGAGAAGAGGAAGAGTGGGATCAGGAGGGGTGGAGAGGGAGCTACTGCTGGGATACAAAATAAATAAACTGTAACTAATAAAAAATAAGTTAAATAAAAAAATACTTCTGAAGACACAAATTTCTAGAGACAAAGAGTAACTGAGGAGTCAACGTTGATAATTTCATGACACATTCCACTGTCTGAGACTGAAGCGTGAGGCAGGCTTGGGAGATAAGCAGAGGGAGAATGTTTGGGTCAAAGCTCAGAATTTAGGGTCGCCGACACCACAGCCAGTTGACATGAACTGGAGAGGGTGGATACGTCTTTCATCACAAGCCCAACAATGTCTTCATATCTCAGGGTACCTCGCTCCTAGTGCAGGGAGGGCAGGAGCCTGGGCCGGGCATAAAGGGCAGATCAGGACTAACCACCTCACAGGAGGCACGATGGCGGACTTGACTGCTGATGAGAAGGCTGCCCTCACTGGAATGTGGCGTGAGGTAGATACTGAAAAACTTGGCAGTGAGGCCCTGGAAAGGTTAGTATCAGACAGCACAGGGGAGCAACTGGAAGCTAGTTATGTGGAGACACTGAATTTCTCTACCCTTGCGTTTCCACCTTCTAGGTTGCTGATTGTCTATCCACACAGCAGGAGGTACTTTGACCACTTTGCAGTCTCTCGTTCTCGTTCTGCCACTGAGGACGACCCCAACTTGAAGGTTCTTGGCAAGAAGGTGATGGACTCCTTCGGTGAAGCCCTGAAACACCTGGACAACCTGAATGACACCTTTGCCAGCCTGAGCGAGCTTCACCGTGACAAGATGCATGTGGATCCTGAGAACTTCAAGGTGACTTCGCCGGATGCTCTGCCTTCTCCTTTTCATGCTGCTGATTTGTACTCATCGCTGCTTTTCTTCCATATTTTCTTTTACTTTCCTGTACTTCTCCATTTAATGAATTTCAACACTTGTTCAATATTCTTAACTTCCCTCTTTCACAACCTTCCCTAAAAGAAATTTATTTACTTTTATATTCTGTCTTTTGTCTCCCACTCATGCCTCTGTCTACATTTATCTGCAAGTCCCTTGCTTAGACGACTATGCAAATTATACTTCCTGCCTCTCATTTACTACTTCTAAATGTGGGAAAACATTCTGTTGTCTCCCCCTAAAATAGGGGGCTTTGAGAGTCTCCTGAAGGAAGAGAGACAGAACAGGTGGTTTTAGAGAACATGGGGAAAAGGACAATCAGAATTTTATGAAATTAGGAGTAAATTAGGAGATGAGAAAAGAAAAATTAGCGTCTGTGGATGGAAGGTTTGAACATCATATTAGAGATGTGGCAACAGCAGCTGTAAAGAGAGAGCCCGCAACTTTACTAATCAATTGATTATTAAGCATCCACACAGGACTTAGACGCACATATAAAATAAACGTATTCATACATATATACACATATGCATGTATTTACTCTTTTTATTTTGGAAGAAATTAGCCAGGGGTCATGTAAGGACAGAATTGTGGGCAGAAGACCAGGGTGTCGTACAGTTCTTCAGAAGCCAAGATGAATTTCTGTTGCTACCATATGTATATGGCTGTCTTCCTCTTCTCCACAGCTCCTGGGCAGCATGATAGTGATTGTGCTGTCTCGCCACTTTGGCAACGACTTCACCCCAGCACTGCAGGGTGCTTTGGAAAAGCTGGTGGCTGCTGTAGTTGCTGCAATGGCTCACAAGTACTACTGAGCCCTCTCCTGTCCCATGGTCACTAGAAAACCCTTCCCTAGAAATCCTGTCTTTTGAAGTTTGGGAGAAAATGACCACCCTTATGTTATAGCATCTGCCCAATAAACAAATTTATGATTTGTTTCATTCATGTTTTCCTCCTTAGGGATGTGCAGCATCACAGAGGACCTACAAGGAGGGGGCTTTTGTATGTTTACACAAAGAGTGGGAGGGAAACTCTATAGATACTAAGGGAAGACAAACACTTCTTTTTCCAAAGAATAGAAAGTGTCAGAAGTGTTTCATACAAGGAGGGTCCTGGCACTTTAGAGGATTTATGAGAGACCTCAAACTGGAGATACAGGCTCAAGGCTGGCCACTGTTGTGACCGACAATTAAGCAAGAAACCATAACACCAATCCAGTATAAACTGGTTATCCAAAACACTGCCACGACTGTTTTCCCTTCATTTGTAGACTCTTGCCTACACTACAACATATCAAATCTTCTTTCTATAAGAAAAGTAAAAGTCCTTGTGTGACTAGTCCCCAAACATTTAAAAGAAAAGCAAATAAGTATATAAATAAATGTATAAATATTTTCTGTATATGCCCCTACTTTAAATTAGGCAAAATTCAATTTAAAATTTACCTCCTGAATTATGTTGCCCCAGATTCAATGAACTTTTTATATTGCCTAAAGAAATCTTTGTAAACTCTCACAACTTTTAAATTTCTTTTTAACACAGACATGCACTCACACACACATGCACACACATTTATTTTACAAATTTTCTGGCTGTATTCTTTCTTGTATCCTTATTGTAATTTGTAATTAAATTATTATGTAGCTAGTAATGTTATATAGCTCGCATGTTATTTCTGTGAAAGTCTATGATCTAAGGGATCATTACACTGCATGAAAACTTCTGTGGATGGAGCCAACCCAAACAGTAACACTATCTGATTATTAACACTACATGTTACACGGAGGAAACAAGAAGAAACCACAGAATTCTGATCACGGGTAGAAAATTTTCTTTCTTTGAGTTCTCTTTCTGCCATATGTGAAATTAGGAGGGTTTTTTAGAAAATTCTGACTCACATGCATCCCTTTAAATTGGCATCTTCTCACTTGATGCTTTTAGATTTATTTGTTAATCAGAGCCTGGCTCCTCTTTTTTTGTGAGGCCACCTAGTCTCAGAAAGAAGACACACATACACACACACACAATCACACAGACACACACACAGATATACACACACAGATACACACACAGACACAGACACATACACAGATACACAGACACAAAGACACACACACACACACAGACACACACACAGACACACACACACATACACACACACACAGACACACACACACAGATACACACACAGACGCAGACACACACACAGATACACACACAGACACAGACACACACACAGACACACAGACACAAAGACACACACACACAGACACAGACACACACACACAGACACACACAGACACACACACACACGTGCTCCCTCATATGTGGATTCTTTGTGAATGTACTTCTGCAGTAACTCTGCCACAATACACTGTCCAGGTTTTACCAAGCCTGAGCGAAGAGGCTGTTTTGTGTCCACGTGTCCTTTTCAGTGCATACCACATAACAGACCCTGAGAAAGGCTTGTATATGAAAAACTTCTACGAGATCCCTGGGCTTATCTGCCAGAAGCAGCTATTCCAGAGCCACTTCTTGATGCTCATGCTCCCGAGCAGGTAGGGGCACAGGGAGCAGATGTTAAGGAAGGGGTGGGATTATAACATTTTAGTTAATAAATATGAAACAAATGGCACAATTTCTTCTCTAGAATCAGTTGTCATCCTCTTCTTTTTACCACGCAAATCCTCGCCCACTCAATAATGAAGATGAGGGTAAAGGGCAGAGAAAAGGGAGATTCTACCTTCCAATCAGTTTATCCATTACTGTCTCAAAATGGTAGGAAACTAATAATGAAGATGAATTGTTTGATCACTTTCATCTCTAGTAAAGCTTATATAAGTTTACAGATGGAAATAACTATGGCCACGTAGAGGAGAGCTTAGTATATCAGGAACATTTTTCTATTTACAACTGAAACAACTTTTTGATCTTTTATATACGAGTGAATAAAGAATATTGTTTTTACTTATGTACAGATAGAGAACATAGTGCTGAAAATGCCATCTAGATTCTCTTATTAAAGCAGAATACTTATGAAACAATAGTACTGCATATAAATATTTCAGCACAGCCAAGTATTCTACTAGTTTTAATGTTGGGAATCATTTTGAAGGAGGGGGTGAAAATAGTGTAAGAGACAGAAGAAGGAAGGGGAGCAGGGGTAGGGATTAGGAGAAGGGAGAGCAGGGGAGAGAAGGCCAGATGAGAGAAGAAAAATCAGAGGTGGTGGTGGGGTACCTCTGGAGCTGGAGGGAGTCAAGTACCCCACAAGAAGACCTATAGAGTCAACTAACCTGGGCCCATGGGGGCACACAGAGGCTGGACCACCAACTGAAGAGGAAGCATGGGCTGATCCTAGGCCTCCTGTACATATGTAGCAGACGTACAGCTTGGTCTTTTTGTGGAACCCCCAATAACTGGAGTGGGGGTCCTCTGTGACTCTGATGCCTGCCTTTGGCCATATGTTCAATTCTCTCTAACCCAACCTAAAAACAACAGGGTAAATTAATATGAAATGACCTCTTTCCTTAGGATAACTGATCCAAGAAACAGAATTATTGGGAAAGTAATTTGTGCATAAAAATAGATTCAAATCTGCAGACACTGGGCATCAAGCTAATATATGGTTTAAACCTAAGAAGTAAAGTGGGACTTTCAACCAGTGAAGGATGGGCAGAGGTAGAATGGGTCAGGCATGGTGTCAGATTTGCCAGAGTATATGGGTGGAAAGAGATGAGGATGTCTGAAATTACCAATCTTGAGTCAATACACGAAGAGGCCATGTGGTGACTGGGACCCTCATGTGGGTGAATCTTCTTGAATGAGTGCAGCTTTCTCAGAGAAGGCTGACCGTAAAGATCTGAGTCAGTCTCAGAATCTCAAGCTGGAGATCTTCAGATACTAAAACCCACAGTGCTGTGTCGTGGCAAAACTAACTGCACTACCCATTTCCTGCACTGTATATGTGGGTCAGAATTTGACCTGTTAATTATATTTAAATCTGTCTTTCCACTACAGGAACAGCACATTATTTTTTTGTACTTCTGGTTTAGAGTGTTTCTGAGCATCGCGGACACTCAAAATAGCAGTAAGCAGAATAAATGGTGACTCTGGAGTGCAGCACCAGATGCTCTGGGGTGCAACCCTGGCTGTCCTGAAACTCGTTCTGAAAACCAGGCTGGCCTCAAACTTACAGAGATATTCCTGCCTGTCTCCTGAGTACCGGAATTAAAGGATTGTACCACCGCTGCTTGGCTTCACTTAGTTTTTTTTTTTTTTAATTTAATTTTTTTTTGAGAACTTCTTAAGAAAGTCCACAGTGTGGTGCATGAGAACATCACTCCCACCCTCCTGCTAACCTTGGCCATGCACAGCCTCCCAAATTCATGACCACTTAATCTTTAATCATTTTTTATTACACGTGTATATTCACACATAGTCCCTCTCTTCTCTCTTGTGCTCTCTCTCTCTTTCTCTCTCTCTCACACACACAGATACACACACACACCTAACCTACTGAGTTCATTTAGCATTGCTTATATGTACATATGTCTAGGCCTTGCCACTTTTATTCGGACAGCCTGTGTGGGATCAGGTCCCTAGCATAAACTGATTCTTCCTCTCTTCACAGCTATTGGCCAATTGTAGATGTTCATCTAGAAGTAGGATCTGGTGGAATTTCCTGTGTCTCCGTTGGCATGTCAACTGACGCTGTTATTCAGGCAACATATTGTTGAGAGTTCATGGACTTACTTTCCCTGTTCTATCTAGAGGACACTATCTTAAGGTAAACATCCTGGCCCTCTGACTCTTACTGTCTGCACCTTTTTCTCTGTGTTCCCTGACATCTATCTAAATGTAGGGATTGCATTGTTGATATATCAATTGAGGTTGGGTACCCCAAAAGCTCTTAATATCTACATTTTGAGCACTTGTGGATCTCTGTAAATGTATTGATTTGTTGCAAAAAGATTTTTTAAAATGAGAGATGAGAGCTACATTTATCTGTGAGTATGAGGATAAGTAGTTAGAGCACAGTTAGTAATTACATTAGTTTAAGAAAATGGCAGCAGTAGATTCTCCTCTAGGATCCATGACTTCTTCTGGCACAGGTAGTTTGTGTTTACAGAAGCAGGCACAGATTCGTTCCTATTGAGCAGGCATTGCATCCAATTAGGTGACTGTTGGTAACCAGCAAGATAAAAATGGTATAGCTGTACCCCTGATAGCTTGCTGGGCCAGTCGTGTTTGTAGTTTATAGACTTTACAACTGGATAGGACTAGCAATAGTTCCTCTCCCTGGGCAGTTTGCATCATACTTTCATGACTGAGAATCTATCCTCAGGGAAGAGTTCCAACTCAATTTTTCTAAATCTTGTGCCAGAGTATACAATGTCTTCAGCAACGGGTGTTGCCTTCAACTTCTCAGAAGCAAACAGGGCAATGACAGTAGCCTGTATTATTTTGCAATATTCTTTTAAGCCCCAGATCAACAGCTCTAGGGGATGTCCACTCTCTTCATATCTCTTCAACATAGTTCTTGAAGTCCTTGCTAGAGCAATAAGACAATTGAAGGAGTTCAAGAGTACACAAATCAGAAAGGAAGAAGTCAAAGTATCACAATTTGCAGATGATATGATAGTATAGTTAAGTGACCCAAAAAATTCTACCAGGGAACTCCTACAGCTAATAAATATCTTCAGCTAGATATTTATTAAAGAGGCTAGATACAAAATTAACTCAAAAAAAGAATCAGTAGCCCTCCTGTATACAAAAGACAAAAGGGCTGAGAAAGAAATTAGGGAAACAACAC